CGCCCCGCCCCGAGGCTCCCGGAGCGGGACCACCGAGGCCAGCCTGGGCCCCCGCCTCCCTGACCTCCGCTCCACCTGGGCCGGCCCCCGCCGGGGCTGGAGAACCCCTCACCGGCCTTCCCGGGGGCTGCGGGGACGCTCTCTTCCCCAGAAGGCCCCTGAGCCCTGCCCGTGCCCCCCCCTCCCCCGCCCGGCCCCAGGGCTGAGCCGTCCCCTGTGCCCGCAGCCCCCACGGTGCTGGTGGACGTGCAGGAGACCGAGCCGGTGATGCAGGAGGAGATCTTCGGCCCCATCCTGCCCATCGTGAACGTGAGGAGCCTGGACGAGGCCATCGACTTCATCAACCGTCGGGAGAAGCCCCTGGCCCTGTATGCCTTCTCCAACAGCAATTAGGTGAGGGTGCTCCGGCAGGGCTGGGACAAGAGAGGGGCTGAAAAAGGTGCAGACCCGTGACCTTCCCCTTGACAGCCCACGTTGGGAGGGTTAGGGCAGCATCACCCGGACAGCCGTTCCCTGCACAAGGACTCCTGCCAGAGGGGGTTTGGGCAAGGCCAAAAGACTGTCAGATGTGTGGCTGGGGCAGCTTCCACCAAGAGAAGAGGTGCTTTTTTCTACCCAGAGAGCCTGGTCTTCCTAAACCAAGCAAAGGCCCTGTATGGGCAAGGAGACGCTCCGGAGGGGGGAGGGGGCAGAGCCAAGCCAGGACCCGAGCCAGGCTGGCCACGGTGGGGCTTGTGCCCTGCTGGCGCTGGCTCCCCTTCCCGCCACGGGCTCCCCTCTGTGTGGAAAGTGCTCACAGGGGAGACATCTCAGTAGAGGATGGGAACAGGGGAGGCTCCTCTGCTCCCCATGGAATGGTTGGGGACTCAAGTCCTCTTTACTGATGATGAGCCCACCACCGGGCCTCTCCCACCTCCCCCCAGGTAGTGACCCAGATGCTGGATCGGACCAGCAGCGGCATTTTTAAGGCAACCAGGGCTTCATTCACCTGATTCTGCCGTCCCTGCCGCTGGGGGGAGTTGGTGAGCCCTGCCCTCCTCCACTCTCCAGCCCCCACCCCCAGGGTTGGTATTCCCATCCTGGGAGGGCCCAGTTTTGCCTTCACCCTCTGTTCTAACTTGATCTAGGCGCTGGGTCTCTAAAGCCCTGTTTCCCTATCTGCAAAATGGCTCTTAGAGTGGCTTGGCTTTCCCTGAGCGCCGTGCCAGCTGGGGGCTCCCGCCTGGGCAGTGGGCTGCTGCGAAGGCTGGCTGGGCTGCCTGCCTCAGGCCCTCACCTCCGTGCCCATGCAGGTAACAGTGGCATGGGAAGATACCGCGGCAAGTTCTCCTTCGACACCTTCTCCCACCACCGTGCCAGTCTGCTCTCCCCCTCGGGCCTGGAGAAGCTCAGTGAATTCCACTACCCGCCCTACACTGACAGCAGGCAGCAGCTGATAGGCTGGGCCTTGGGCTCCCACAGCTGCACCCTTCTGTGAGCTCCCCGTGCACCTCCAGCGCCCTAACTCCACCACCCCTCTGTCCTGCTACTGCCCAGGTGTTCAGTGGTCCCTGAAAGGTGGGGGTCCTGTCCGGGAGTGCAAAGATCCTGCTCTTGGGGCTTTGTCTCAACAGGCCCTGGTTGGGCAGGACCTCTGGGCCGCTGGTCCCGTCACTTTCAGGGCCAAAGTCCCCTCTGCAGCCCCCTGACAGACTCACTGACCCGACCCTCTCTTTAGATATGTCTGATGACGGAGCTCTTGTGGTTAGAAAGGACCCCTTGTATCAGATCTATAATTAGGTTCCCAGAATAGAGCGCCATGTCTTTTCTTTTTTTAAGAGAAAAGTGGGGTGGGGAGGCAGCCCGTGGGTGGGTGGCTGCTGGGGAGGGACCTAAGGTCGGGCTTGGGCCAAAACTGTAGCGCTGCCTGTGGCCACCGCCACCTCCAACTCCCTGACCTGGGCTGCTGTCAGGAGGACCCCCAAAATACAGAGCGATTTCTAGCAGCTCCATTCACACCTGGTTTGGGGAGCTGGGTTTGTCTGACCTGAAGTGATCTGATCTTGAGCCTGGATCTGGCTAATGGCTGATGTCACCATAAAGTGTGTCACTGGCAAGGACTCTGATGCCGTGGGTGGGTGGAATCAATAGGAGAGAGTGCAAAGTTTGATTAGTCATGTCTGCTATGGGCACAGGACGGGTCGTGCACACTGCGGACACGTCTATCATCCTGCCGTGGACTCCCAGAAGGAGGTCGTGGTGGGCAGAGTCTAAATCTAGCCACTTCATCTGACATATGGGGAAACTGAGGTCTAGAGACAGCACAGGGCTGAACTGAGTTTATACAGGAAAACAGAGCAGAGCTGAATGATGGGGGGTTTTCTGAGAAATAGGGAGGAGGGGGGATCAGTTAGCAGAACAGATCTAGTCCACTACTCTTTCCCTCGTCCTCATCCTGAGAGCCCACTTCCAACCTTCCCTACTCTTACTTCACTGAGAGCCTTGGGAAGATGGGGTTTGTGGCCTGAGATTGAGGGAAGAGGGAAGAGGGACAGTATGATGGTCCTGCTTCCCTGGGAACTGTGGGGGATGGTTGTCTCCAAAAGGGCACAGGGTGGACTCGAAGGACGTACATAATAGGGACTTGCTGAGAGGTGCGAACACAGGATGTTCTATTTGGGTAATGGCCCAGGGGCCTCCTTATAAGGCAATAAGGCCATTTTATTTCAGAGGACAGCTCTTCTCAGCGGAGACCTGTCAGTGTTCAGGAAGGACAGGCTCTGTTGGTTATCACAAGGCTTGCTGATTGAATTTGGTAGAGGTTTCTACGTGTGCTACAATTCTTCTAAATCAGTGAAGGGGACAGAGACAGAGGCCAGCTGATAGGACTAGGGGAAAAGAGAATGTGCATGGGCCCGGAGGAGAGGGAGGGTGGCAGCTTTAGAAACTTGACCTGGTTGTGCATTCCATACATGCTGGCTGGGGAAGGCAGGACAGTCGGGCGTGGGAGATGGACCGGGTGTGGCTATGCCAGACGGGGACCCCCACCTTCTCCCTTCTCTTGGCGGTGTGCGTTCCAATCCAGGTATAGTGTGTTTCCGTGGGTCCGGCTTGCAGCAGGACAAGGGGATCCTGGGGGAGACTGAGTGGGTCCCCTTGACCCAGGGTGTGAACTAACTCACCCATTCTGACGGGGGCGTCCCACTGTAAATCCCAGTAGATAATTCCTCTCCCAGGCGCGATGGAGCTGGGTGCTCTCAGCAGCAGAGCACATCGATCTTCGGTGAGAGTCGGGGCGATGGCTGTCTCCCACTGCTTCTATACCTCTGCCGTGTTGGGGGCCTCACTGGGGGCCCCCAATCTGGTATATGGGGCAATAGGCCTACTGGTAGGTTATTTCAGTGCATCAAGACCTGGGACAGTACTTTAGTTCACCCAGCCGAGGTGGTTTCACCTGTTAATAATTTAATTTGTTGCTTTCAGGGGAGCCACTGCCCCCCACTTTGGGCCGGAGGCACGTCCACGCCTTTGTCTGGGTGGCGCTGGGCAGTGCCCTCCGCCCCCAGACACGCTGCTGACACAGGGTTAGTGCGTGGGCCGATTAAGGCCGGTGCCGAGTGCCAGCCGGAGCCCCTTCTCTGCAAGCCTTGTGCTCCCATTTCCAGTCCTTTGCACAAAAGCTCCCCTGTGCCTTAGCGGTCCTGTGAATGAGTAATTACAAGGCAGTGGGGTTAGGGTCTAAGGAGATGCCGCCCAGAACCCGAGCACCCATCATCATCCTTATTATCAGGCATCATTGTTAACTTTTATTGAGGTGTAACACTCAGTAAAGTGCATAAATCTTTAAAAAATTGAGCGGCGCCTGGGTGGCTCAGTCTGTTGAACCTTTGCCTTCGGCTCAGGTCATGATCCCGGGGTCCTGGGATCGAGACCCGTGTCTGGCTCTCTGCTCAGCGGGGAGCCTGCTTCTCCCTTTCCCTCTGTCTGTTGCTCCCCCTGCTTGTGCTCTCTCTCTCTCTCTCTCTGTGTCAAATAAATAAATAAATCTTAAGAAACTACCGTTTCTTTAAATTTTTAAAAAATAAAAAGAAAATGGAATTTGCTGCTTTAATACTCAACTTTCCCCTTTCTACCAACCCTGCTGCTTGCAGGTTGGAGGGGGGATGGGACCTCCATTCGGTGTCATGCTTTATTGGCTGGTCTGGCAAACCATGACCTTTGACATGTGGCCCCCACTGACCGTCTAGTCAACGAAGCCATCTCTACGTGGTAGTCAGTTTCTCTAGTTCCCTGGTCTGCACGGCAACGAGGGGCAGCTTGGGTTAAGCCACACGCAGTGTCCACACAAACCAAGGCATATATAGAGGGAGGGGGCTGACAGAATCGATCAGCCAGCCGCTCAGTGACTGGGAACTCTGGTGGATGGCCCCAGATTTCTGGCAATTGTCTTGGGCGTTGTTTAGAGCACACAGGACCTACTATTACTGCAGTAACCACGTCACTGTACCAAAGGGCAATCAGGCATCCTTGGCAGAGTGCCATCCTGCTGGGGCACGGTGGTGGCCACTCTCCCTGTACCCGATCGGCCCTATCCACTCCAGAGTCAGTCGCTAGGGCTCGGCTGCGAGCTGGAGCATCAGCTTCTGGATTGCGAGGGCTTGTGCCTTATGCACCGAGATAGGAAAACCGGAGAGACTGCCTCAGGCTCTTGCAGGTGAACCCAAATGTCTTTCCACATTTCCTGCCCCCACAAAGCCTCATTCCCGATCTTCCCCTCAGCTTCGCATTTTCGGAGCCGTAAGGTTAATCCCTTTCGAACAACCTGCTGTCCATGCAAAGGGTTAAAGACCGTGGCTCATGTGTATCACTGGCCAGACTACTTTGAGCTCAGCCTGCTGGCCACTGCGCCCGGCGGCTGCGGGAGGCTCTACCTGGAGGAGCACCGTGTACACAGGTAGGAACCAGGTGCTCTCCGGGGGCGCTGGGTTTCCTCCCTCTTCCAAAGCTGGGACCTAAACCCTCGGGGCATTGTCCCTTTCTGTTCACCCTGCCACAGTGCCTGGCTCATACCTTCCAGAGGCAGAGACACATCTAACTCAGACCGCAGCCCTGCCTGGGAGATGCCCAGAGCTTTAATCTGCTTTACTAGTAGTTTTGCTTTCTCAAGGTCGGCTTGCTGCACTGATCCCCAGTCCCACAGGTGCCTTTTCTTTACCAGGTGACATAAGGGACAGGGGCACTATGCCAGGTGGGTATTAAAAGCCATCCCAAACCCCCAAATCCCTACAAAGCCTTGCACCCCCTTCACAAGCTTAGGGGCTGGATAGGCTTGCCCCTTCTCAATTACAGCTTTGGGGACAACCTGAGTCTTATCAGTCAAAACCCCAAACCTTACAGCGGTGCCTGGGTTTTGG